TCAAATGTAATACCATCCATTATACAGTGACCCACTTGTAACCTACTGTACAGCAGAGCGACACCCACTTACCCACCTTTTTTTAATTATTTTTTTTTTAAAGTAAAAAAAAACTTGTGAGGAATCTATTACCTTTTAAGCCTATTTTACTTGTAAAAAAATCGTATCATGTATAAATTTAAAAAAAGGTGAGCAAGTGGGTTTTGCTCTGCTGTACAGTAGGTTACAAGTGGATCACGGTAATGGATGTATCATGTACCTACAGTTATTCGTTTTTGAATTACAACAAAATAAGAAAATCACTATACATGAGAAATCGAGTGAATTTATCCAATGTTGTAAAAGAATGAACAATTAAACGCTCATAAAAATGTAATTTAACTTTCAGGTAGAGATTTTTCTGCTGTTTAAGGTAGAAAAACGTATAAAAATCTTGTACCTATTAAATTTTCAAATCTTCGATTAAAAAATAAAAAGTTTTATGAATTTATAAATCAAAATAATTTGCAAATTTTTGTGATTTTACGTGTTTTGTTAACATTGAATTTTATATGCTTATAAAAAAAAAGTGACTGGATTTTTAATATTTTTCAAATATTATTGGAACAATATATTAGGAGCCTTGAAAATGTCATGGTGTATAGTAAGTGCTAGTATAAATATTCAGTAAAAATTTCAAGTATCTACGTTCATATTTTATAAATTTACACCGATTCGATTTTGTCGAAAACTGATTTTTCGTAAAAATTCTCTGTTTTCCCTAATTATTTTTAGTTTTTCCCGGCACTAGTGTTAAAACTGTTGGTAGGCCTTGGAGTAATGGTAAGATTTTTTCTATAGTAATTATACAAAAAATGTTTCTCCCACTTATTTTTAAGTAAAATATTTAATATAATATGGCAACCCAAATGTATGCCCATTTTTTTTAAGTATACCGTATTCAATCCGCAGAGGCTTGTCCAGGATAAAATTCAGGACAGACCCGGTTATAAGAAAAATGTGTACAATATACACATTTATTTTTAAAGGAATTTTTAATTTGCATAGGTACATAGGTACTTTTAAAATGTACAGAGAATCATAATTCATAACATTGACGGGAAATTTAATAAAAAAATGTGTCTATTATAATATGTATTGTAATAATTAATATATTTTACATTATATTTTTTAATTTTAGTCATAATATAATAATATGGATCATGGATGTTGACGGTTCACGGTTATTTTCCCTAGAAGCGCTTGACATTTAGATTTCAATGTTCGGTGTGTAAGTGTGTTAATACAAAAAATAAATATACAATTTCTTGTTTTTAATTTAAAAATACATATTTTTGGTATATTATGGGAGTTCAAAATCTGAGTACTTCGGGCCTACCACGTTTACCCGCTGGATACTCCATTTGTTCAATGAGTGACCAAGACTGCGCGGCGGACGAAAACTCGTCGTTCGCCCGCCCTACGGTATCTGCTGTAGTCCTTTTTGCTCATTAAACGAGGATAGGCATCTTACTCGAAATAAAAAAAATTGTGTATATATTGCTAAATTCCAGCTCAATTTTCTTATATTATTTCATGTTACAAGTACACAATTTATTGCCTTTCGTTTATCCGTATCATCTATCTTATTATACCTACCTATCGGCAATCTCAATACTTTAAGTGATACGTTTCTTGAAATTATGTCCAAGCACTAAGCAGGCACTAAGTTAAGGAAGTACCTCGTCAGTCATCACCATAGAACATATTTTATGTTCTATGACGTCACTGAACAACATAATATAATAATATAATCAGTGGCGTATTTAGGTTTTTGTCTTGTGGGGGGGAGGGGTATGATGTTATCCAGTAGCGGAGTAGCCCCGCCTTTAAAGTTAGAGGTTTTAAGTTAGGGCTCCGAAAACTTTTGCATATTATATACAGCCTATGGGTATTGATCCACTTGATCACCCCCCCCCCCCCCGCCCTCGCTTCTGAATATAATATAATTATAATTTTTGCTGTTTTTGTTGTTATTAGATATAAGGTAGGTACTTACATTATATCGGTTGCATTTTCATACTAAACGTAAGAAACTTTAAAAAAATTAAATTAAAAACATATTATATAATAATTGTGAATTGTGACGTACGTAATAATATAATGTATTAATAATAATAATAATATTGATACTAATTATAATAACATATTATATATGGATATTGATAACAATAATAATAATAATATTACTACTACTACGAATAATAATAATATATCCGCCAGCCTACCGACTACCGCCACCAAGTTATACTTGCGCCGGAAACCACGGCCGTGGTAAAAATACTAACGGCAAACACATACTGCGAGCGGGACATAGTACGTCATGTAGTTTGTACAAAATAATATTTACAATACTGTTGTCGAGGCCGTGTGATATATTATGATGTACAATTTACCAGCCATATACGACTGATGTAGCTCTGGCCTCCATAAATCTTTCTAATTCGATCACATTATCAAAATTATATCGATCCACATATTATATTAACGTTTGTGTATTTTTCGTGGTTGTGGAAGGCGCTAACGTAATTGTAATAAATAATCATATATTTATATGGGTATGTGATAATATCACCTATAATAGGCTATAATCGTATGCATCGTTTTCGCTACAACGCTACCAATTGACGTATTAATGTGCTATAATATGATTACCGGACGGTGATTACGTGACTACCTATCGGTGAGTACCTATACATGATACATAATATAATAATATATAATTTTATTTCAATACAGTAAGACGAATAGCCGCCTTAAATATTAATATATTATACAAGCATTGAAGCATGTACCTAATTTCGATTTCATTTTAAAATTGTACGAATATCGCAATCTATAATGTCCAGTCAAATATAAAGTAGCTACCTACTGTTGAACACATAACCTAACCTTATAGGTATTTTTTAAATAGTAATATTTTTTAAATAAACTATGTAGATAGTACTTTAGTAAGAGTATTTTTTTAGTGTCAACTCTAAACGTGTCATTGTATGGCTTGCACCTAATTATTATGTCAGACAGTTTCGTACCTTATACATATTATATTCTATAGAGTATTTTAAAATATTTAATTGCACTACTACAAAGTATAAACAAAAACTGCTTGTGTTCGAATTCTCGACAGTGTACAACACTGCAGTTCATGCACGCTATGTATGGTACCTACCCATTATCTACAACTACATATATATATTGTCATGATTATAGCTATATAAGTACGCGATGAGTACACACAAAGAGAGTGAATGACCGAAAGAGAGAGAGAGAGAGAGAGAGAGAGAGAGAGAGAGAGAGAGAGACTAGAGAGAGAGAGTGAGACTAGAGAGAGAGAGAGTGAGACTAGAGAGAGAAAGAGACCTTTGTCGCGTATAATGTTTCCGTCACGGTTAGGCTATGGGCTTATGGCCGAAATAGTAGTGAAACGGCGTTAACGAATCGAAAGAGGAGAATTCGATCCGCGATCGTGTTTGTCGGTGTTATAGTCTTCAATATTTCAATTTTAATAGGACATAATAACATCTCAAACTCGTCCATTTTTAAAGTGGTTTTAAAACACATTTGAGAAATATAAAAATGAACAATCGCCAATCAACATAATATATTTAAATGTATTCACAAAGTAATTAACAATTGAGCAGTGTTATTATTTATTAAAAACACTTTAGTTTAAATTGGTTTATTGCGTTATTAAGTAGCTTATTTCCAAAACCGATTATTTTTATAGTCGTATGGGTACCGAACAATTAATATTGATATTATAAATTTTAAATAGGTAGTTATTAGAGATAACATAATATTATTATAATATTGCTTTAATAGTTTTATTTTCTTTTGAACTAAATTTACAAACTCATTTATTTTCTAAAATGTATATTTTAGTTTAATTTTTTTTCCTAATGCGTTAATCTATGGCCAATCTTTTATGGGAAACGAGTATTTTAATTTTCTATATCGGCCGAAAGCATTGCTATAAAATGCCCAATATCGGCACAGCAAACATTTTAGGTATGTCCGATGCGCGGACAGTATAGGTATAACTATATCATAATAGTACCTATATTATGCTATATTATGGCTATGTAACAAATTATAATGTTTTATTTTCATTAAAAACATTTTGGCTAATCGTTCCGATCGCAACGTTATTCGCTGTATTATACATTATACGCTGGTGCTATACAGACTATAGTTGTAATAATTAATTGTTTTATTATAAGTTGAAATCATTAAACGCAATTCGAGATAATTATTATTATCAGATGATTTTTTTAAAGCAAAGTTTCTCACTAATCATTCGATATTATCTAAGGCCTCTATGTTAAAAAATAAACAAGAGCGTTATACACCTATTAATTATTATTATTTTTTAATAACCAGCCTTTAAAATTTAAAATTTTACGACTTACGAATGACGTTTTTAGTTCACACTGTGGAATAATATAGATTGTCGAGTTAAAACAATCGAATTTGCCCCAGTTTCAGTCAAGTGACTTCATAGATGGCGCCACTAACGATAACTTTTTTGTCCTCGCTCACCGCTCTCGGTCATAATTTCTATCCACTTATCTCTTATAGTCTTATCTTCCTACCATAAATAAAATAATATTTATAATACAATATAAATATATTATAATAATATAATACATGCATTCATAGAGTATACAGTACACACGCATAGTATATATTTATTATAATAAATGCATCAATAATTAACGTTATCATTATTGTTGATAAATAATTAATTTCATTCGCTACCTGTAACCTGCTGGTAGTTGTTTCGATAGAGTTTAATCCTTTTTTTAAAGTTTAATCTGTTATTTTACAACCGATGTACCTACGTAATTAATTTTAATTGATTCGCTTGTTTTTTTTTCATCTCGGAAAATAACTCACAGTTTCTGCACTGTTCAGTGCCCATACAACACTCCCATTTTGCCGACCGAAAACGTTTACCCAAAATGAGGCTGATTGGTTATAGACTGGCCAAAAATCTGGAGAAAATGGTCGATTTCTACTCGCAGTTCAATCCATCATCGTTATCCATTAAACAGTTCATTGACTTTGGTGAGTTATTTACAATTATTATGCCGATACCATTATATTCTTTCATAGCATTCACAATAGTTAACAATGGTATTATATGTGTGTCTATTGATGTAAAATTATTAATATTTGTCACTCATAATCCTCATTGTACAGGCATCTGCCTATAGTCTATTTTCTATTCAGTTTATAATTTAACAGCAACCATTTGATAACAAACATTATCAGAGATTGTATCATTTTTTTGATTCAAAGGTTACGTCCAAACAATTTTATTGTACAAATTCCTAATGTAAATATTCTATATGTGCCCATGTATAATAAATACAGATTTTACTTTTTCATAAATTTATATAAATTAAGTTGGGTATTCCTTTCATTTTAAAATTTCAAGGATTGTTTTATTATTATAGCTTTGTACCTACAAGGTATACTACTGATAAATGTATTGCAATTATAATCATTTGAAGGTCGATTGTAATGAATTTTATTACTGACCTAGAAATTATATACTAGGCATTTTATTTATAACATAATGACGTATTGCATATTTACCGCAATATTTACCAAAAGCATAAAATGCAGCTTTCACAGAGTAAAATAATTTCTCTAAGTAATGATTTTTTACTTTTTATTATTAGTTTTTTTTAATCAAATTATTAATATAAATTTTGGGTACCAATAATATATAATTATCTACTAATTATTTTTAACAATAAATAAAAAATGTATAATAGTTGTCTTAGTAATATTTCCTTATAAATGTACGTAAGTTTAACAGCAATTATTGTTGAGGTTGTTCAATTGAGATTGGATAAAATTATATTTTTTGAACTAATACTATTCTTGTTTTAGCTTTTTATAATTTATTTATTCTTAAATGTAAAACTATGCAAGTATGTGCATGTTTAAAAAAAAAAAATATTGTCTGGTGATTAAAAACGAAAAATAATTATGTATCTAGCGGAGAACTTAAAATTATTGATAATTATTAAAAAGTAAATTCAGATAGAATATTGGTAGATTCAGGGCCAGATTTAGGAATGTGGGGGCCCTGGGCCCACCTTTAGAAGTAGATATTTTTTTCGATTAAGTACATAATATATTTAATAACCAGAATTTTGGTTATGAAAAAACAATGATTTGTTGTGATGAAATAATAAAGATAGTAAATAAGTAAATACATTTATTAGATTATAATAGGTATGCACTGTCAATCGTCATAATATTATATATAGAACTTAAATAATAATGGTTATCATAATATATTTATATGATAACTTTGCGAGATTTCGTTGCCGCAAATTTTTCAACAACTAGTGACCTGTTTTTTAAATAATAAAATAATAATAATTTTTGTGAAAAATAGAACACACTCAATCCACTATTGCGATTAATGTACTGGTGAGAACTTGCTGTATATTATAGTTCATGACATTATTGATTAATAGATATTAATTATGGTATCTTATGGTATCTTATCTTATTCCGCGTTTAAAAAGACTGTACCAGTTTTCCGTTAACCCATTATTCCAATCATTATAATTTATAAATATTAATTATAATCACATATTCACATATCATAAAATATCAATCTTATATTTTGTGGAATTGTAGGCCCGCATAATATAATATCGCCCGGTCGGACAGTCAGTTATATTCGACGGACACTTAATTTTTTTACAAATTTGAAAACACAAATAAAATTTGAAAACAAATTTAAAAAATATATTCCAACAGTTTTTAGATAAACTTCTCGTGTTTAATTTGGTATAAAAACTATGTTTCTACGACTTACGAGGCCTGAGTACTATTGGAACTACGAAAACATGTTTTTACGATCTATTTTTTTCTACCTACAGTGACGGCTCTTAACTACTATCGTACGTGCAGGAACAAGTTGTTATTAAACTATTATATTATAGATTATTAAATTATAACTAGGTTTTTATCGAGGTGATTTTGAAAATCTATTTTTCCAGCTGTGCTATCAATAAATATAAAAAATGATATTTTTTATTTATATTTTTAATCGTGACACTAACAATTTTCGGAATATTAAAAATCACCACGATAAAAACCTAGTAGGTTATCTCGTTAATCAATGTTAATCCGTTTTCAAAATTGAAATCTGTCAAACCAAATTACTACAGTTTTGTCTAGATTTTTGGTCTAAATGCCACTTTTTTACACAGACAGCAGCCCCCTTGGTTGAAAATCGTCGAATTACTAAATTTAATTTAATAAAAAATACATTGTACTAACCTGGATAAATATCACGATCAAAATATACTTTATGGTTGAAGCGTGAAAACTGAGTGTACCATCTATTTTTCCTATCGTCTACGGTCTACCGCATCAATATCATAAATAATTACATCTTTCTCTACAGTCTACGTTATCGCATGTTTTTATTTAGAACTTATTCAGCACGCATTTATTTATAACAGTCCACAGCGGACGGCTTGCTATACAAGTTATAATATGTGTTTATTTATAACTGTTTTTAATTAAAATATCTACAAGTCTACAATATAATATTAATAATAACATTTATTTATAAATTTATGACAATATCAATGATTGAATATTTTTATTCATGTTGTGATTTAAATCCGTTTTGAAAATGTTATATTGTGTTTTATACTTGGATGTAAAAAAAAAACATTTAGTGGGGGCCCTCAATTTGTGGAGGCCCGGGGCCCGGGGCCCCTTGGGCCCCCCCCCCCCCCCCTAAATCCGGCCCTGGGTAGATTGCATATTTCAGTGACATTAGTTCAATCGTAAGTAACCCGTAGATTGCACATTTCGATCAGTGCCTTAAATTCTATTGTATTGCCATTGGCTTTACCGCTGCAGTGAGTAGTGAAATGTGTCCTACAGCAATTTACCACCACCGCTGCAGTGTGTGGGGATCTTTATACCTTACATACCTATACATACCTTTTTAACTTAAGTACAATTAGAAATCTATATAATATAACATTTAAATACCTACCTATATGGCTATATCCTGTTAATAATGTTGAATAATTGTTTATGAATTAATTACATTATAAGCATACTTATTTATTATTATATTATACTTATCAAATAAGAGCAAAAGGCCTGAAAAAGACAACAATAATCCTCCTAAGAAAAACTATAATTATTCAAACAATATTAGAATTATTATTACAAAATATAGGTAGGTACTCGGGTAGGTACTTTATCCATAAAATGTTTAAAAAATAGGTTAATAATTATGGATTTTGACTAATAATTGTATTATTGTAGGTATTGATTTATTTGAGATTAAATCTTGTGTATATTAAATATTTATGTTCTTTTAAATATTTACATATTATTATTTTTATTATTAATATGTATCAATACAGGTTTAAAGGCAAATGAACAAAAATCATATCAGTTTTTAAAGAAAGAACTTCCCGTTCGTTTGGCAAATATTATGAAAGAAATTCACTTGCTACCAGATAATTTGTTGAAAATGCCATCTGTGAATTTAGTGAACAACTGGTACGCTCAATCTTTCAATGAAATGATTGAATTTGAAGTTGATGATGGATGTACTGAACAAACTTTAAATAAGTAAGTATAAAATTCAACCCTGAAAAATATTAATATTATTAAAATTAAATATAAATACCTACTCTACATTTTTAGTATGTAATATAATACAATGAAAGCCAAATTATACAAAATAAACTAGATGGATTTAAATATTTTATGCAAATTTGAGAATTATGCTCGTATACTTTTATATAACATATTTTTCTACTCGTTTTAAATAATAATAACATAATAACATGATTTAATTTCAAACCAATAAATGTACTTTAGTTATAAATGTATAATTTGGTGTTAATTATTTAAATATTTTGGCCTAACCTAACCTAACCATTGCAATTATATTCATGAATTTATAAATTATAAGTGATTTAAATATCTTCTTACTTTAAAATATTTATAAATTTATAGTTATAATTTTTAATAATAATAAATGTGATAGAAAACACTTTGACAGAAAAAAATGTTCATTCTGTATCTACTAGAAGTTTAATTTAAAATTACTCATATAGGTACTTAAGAGGACGCTACACCCGCATGTGTTGTCTCCGTCTTCAAATGTACAACATAGCAAAACTCTTTTGCGCGGGAAAGAACCGAGAAGGCTACAGTCATAACTAAGAAACTAAATTTTCACCACCCAAAATGAGAACTTTGGCTGTGCAACATCGTTTTTATTTTTTGATATCATTTATTGAAAAAAGTTCTTACTGTTTCAAAAACCATTATTGTTTGTGTTTTTCAAACTTAAAAACTTTTTCATATAATGATATCAAAAAATAAAACGACGTTGCACCGCCAAAGTTCTCCTTTTTGTGTGGTGAAAATGTTGTTTCTTAGTTATGACTGTAGCCTTCTCGGTTCTTTCCCGCGCAAAACAGTTTTTGCTATGTTGTACATTTGTAAGACGGAGACAACACATGCGGGTGTAGCGTCCTCTTAATACTTCAATGTTTATTGTTTATTATAAAACTAATAGTTGTTTTTTTGAAATAATGTTTTAGATTTTGTCAAATATTAGTAAAAATTCGTAATCGTCATTCAGATGTTGTCCAAACAATGGCACAAGGGGTTTTAGAGCTGAAAGATTCACATGAAATCGATTTGCATACTGAAAACAGCATTCAATATTTTCTTGATCGTTTTTATATGTCTCGAATTGGTATTCGTATGCTTATTAACCAGCATAGTAAGTTTAAAGAAGGTGTTTAAAATATTTTTTTTCTTAACATTTAATTTATTTGTTTTTTGTTTTTAAGCATTATTATTTGGTGACCATATAAACAACAATAACCATCATCAACATATCGGTTGTATTGATCCTTATTGTGATGTGATAAGCGTTGTGAAAGATGCATACGAGAATGCTAGATTTTTGTGTGACCAATATTATTTGACCTCGCCCGAATTAGAAATCTGTAAAAGTATTGGTAAGTTTAATCATGCATATAATATCGATGCTCCCAAATATTTTATTGTATTTAATTTTATAGATGCTGATGATGAGCCAATAAAAATTGTTTATGTGCCATCACATTTGTATCATATTCTATTTGAATTATTCAAAAATTCGATGAGAGCTACTGTTGAGCATCATAAGACTGATATTTTGCCACCATTGCATGTAACAATCGTAAAAGGAAAAGAAGATGTCTGTGTTAAAGTGAGTTTAAAAATGGTGTTGATCTTTGCTCTATATTCTTGTAACCTTGGGTTTGAGGTATGGAAACATCCATGGTTTATATCGGTTGCCATTTGTCATATGTTGATGTTATCTAAAAGAATATTGAACATTGTCAGTAGTATTATTTTTGTTTAATATTAGTGGACAATTTTCCTGGATACATTTTATTTTTAATGTTTGAATCAGCTTTTCCCAAAGTGTGCACCCGGGTCACCATTGTATAAATTAAATTAAATAAATATTTTCATTATATATATATTACTAGGGCTCGGATGTTGTTGCACTAAAAATGTTATAAAATTGATTGCATTATTGCTGTGAAAAAAACCCAAAATTGCACTTAAAAATTGCAATAAAAAAATATTTTGTACCAAAAAAATTAAAAAAAATATATTAAAAAATTATTTTATGAAATGGGTTAAGTCATTTTATTAAGTAATATTAAAAAGTTTTATTAGGTAGGTTTTAAACGAGTAGATAATAAAAAAGATTCAAATTCAAATTCTCGTTAGTTGTCATTAAAAATCTGGTAAATTGTCCGGTCTTCTTATTTTTTTCAGAAACCTATAAATAATTTTATCAAAATTTAAAACTTTTTATTTAAACTATTTTTATTTTTTTTTTTAAGTTACCGCCGACGACGACGGTCAAATAAGCCCGACATAACCATAGATTAAACCTGTATAATCTAACAAAAAAAGTGAAAACACAAAAAAATACATAAAATTGTATTGAAAATGACGACAATCAACAAAATTGCAATAAAATTGAAAAAATATCTAAAATTGCAAAAAGTTGCACTTAAATTTTTTATATATTAATTGGTACTCGTTTGAAACAAATTTATAACCTACTTAGCAACGAATCCGAACAATAGAAAAAAAGTTGCAAATGCAACAACATCCGAGCCCTATATACAGGGTGGAGCGTAGAAACCGCATAGTTTTTGAACCACTAGTACACGGTAACGGGAGGGTTTATTGACCTCGAACGAATGTTGGTAGACGGCCCAGCCAATGCCGTTTCAGTCGCTATGGAGCGTTGGAACGTAGAGCATCGTGTGTTCGTTGTAGAGCAGTATTTTAGAAACAATGATTCCGTAGTCAAAGTTCAACGTCTTTTTCGTCGAAATTTTGGAATTGGTCGTCGAGGTGCAGTGCCTGATAGAAATACTGTACACCGATGGGTTGCAGGGTTTAGAAGAACTGGATCAGTGATGAAAAAAAAGCCACCTGGTACTCCCCATTCAGTTCGAATTCCTGAAAATGTAGACCGAGTAAGAGCGGCATTTTTTGTTAGTCCAAGACGATCGGCCAGACGACATGCTGT